AGGATACTTGTTCTTAATTGTCACTTTGTCAAGCTCCTGATAGTCCATGCATAAACACGTAGAGCCATCCTTCTTTTTTCACAAATATCACTGGGGCTCCCCAAGGGAACACACTTGACGTATAAAGCCTTTGTCCAATAGCTCTTGGAGCTGCAACTTTAGTTCTTTCATTTCAGCTGGGGCCATTGTGTACGGAGCTCTTGAAATAGGGGTTGTTCCTGGCTCAAGTACAATTTTGAATTCCACCTCACGCTCCGGGGGTAGGTCGGGGAGATCTTCTGGGAACATGTCGGTGAATGCTCTCACTACTGGCATTGAGTTAATGCTCGTCTCGGTTCGCCCTAATTCCACCACATGAGCTAATATCCCCCAAGCACCCTAGGATAATATCTTCCTTGCCTTTAATACCGAGACTATCTTCTGGACCATTTCTACCCTGGTCACCTTGAATTTGAAGCTTGGCTGACTAGGGGGTCTGAACACAACCTCCTTATTGAAGTAATCAATGAAAGCATGATTTTTAGATAACCACTCCTTCTTAAGATGACGTCAAAATTGGCCATATCTAAGACTATCAGCATCACATCCATCATGTGGTTCGACACACACAGTTGACAGTCCTTTACCCTCTCGAAGGCTTCCATACTTACCTTGTCGGGGTACCCACAGACAGCCCATACCCTAGCGGTTCAATTTCTATTCTTGCGTGTTTTACAAGGTTAGTAGAGATAAAGGAGTGGGTTGACCCATAATCAAACAAGACCCTAGTGTAGTGCCCAAGAATAGAGAGCGTACCTGTGACTACCGTGTTGGAGTTTTCTGCCTTCTGGTGAGTGGTAGCATATATTCGACCCTATTGCGGAGCTGGCCTCGGGTTTGAGGTTGGTTGGTTACCAGGGGGTCTGTTGGTACTAGTTGTTGCTCTCTCCTGGGTGCAATGCGCGACAACGTGGCCTTCTTGGTGACAGTTGAAACATACCCAATTCTTAAATCTGCACTGCCCTGGGTGACGTCTCCCACAGTTCGTGCAACGTGGTCTGTCACATGGCGTGTCTATGGGCGAGCCTTTGGTTGCCTACGCTTTTGGTTTAAATTTTTCTTAGCCTGGTGCCACGGTACCTTTGAGGAGGTAGGTGACCTTTGTTCTCTTTTTCTCTTCTGGTCAACCGTCGTGTTTAAGTAGGTTTGGGTGTCCCGTCGGATACTCCCTATCATCGAGCATCTCGACAAGTCAGAATGATGTTGCATAATCAGGTGGAAGGTGAGCTGACACCGCCCCTCGGACATCGGGCCTCAAGCCCATAACAAAACATTCTACTTTCAGCTCTTCTGTTGAAACCACTATTGGGGCGAAACGGGACAGGCGGGTGAATTCTCGTTCATACTCCTCTACTGACCTGTTTCCTTGCTTTATGCTTAGGAATTTACGTTGCTTCTTACATCGCACCACTGGTTTGAAGTATTTTCGAAGGAATGCTGCTCTAAACTACATCTAGGTGATATCATCTTCGTTCGCAGCAATTGCCCGACAGGCTGGTTGCCACCACAGTTTAGCATCATTGCATAACAAGTAAGTCACGCAACTCAGTCTATGCTCCTCCAAACACTTCATGCGTCAAAAAATTTCATCAATAGCCAACAACCATAATTCAGCTATGACAGGGTCCTTGGATTTTTCCTCGAATACTTTGGAGTCCTAACGTTTGAAAGCTCAAAAATACTTGCTTCCTTCTATCGCGTTGGGGTCCCCTCGATTGTGATGGGTCATCTTCCTGGCACTTTGCACTAAGGTCGGGATCAGTTGTGCCAATTTCCCAATTGTTTGTGCCATGGATTGCATCATTCCCATCATCGAGGTCATATTAGGTACTTCTAGAGCATCAAGGTTTGCTCTCAAGTGGATCAGATTGGGGAACTCCTATTCCCGAATTTGGGTTTGCATTTACTGACTGTTCTTGAAGTGGGGCCTCTAAAGATGGGTCCTCGTGTACCCTTGACAGCCTGTTTCAAGCACATTTACTCCCCGATTTGTTACTTGGCCAGACATCCTTTTCCATGTTTCATTCCTAATCAACAATTACCTCGTGAAATTTAATTTTCCAGTCGGGTATTATGCAACATGTATTATCCACTACTTGATGACTTACAAGTACGTAAAACCACACATGATAGTCAATCAAAATATCAATATTTGACACTACATGTTCGTACATTATGCAACATGCATTATCCAGACTTACAAGTATACGTAAAATCACCCATTATAGTCAACGTAACATTAATATTCAACAATACATATTCATCTATTTTATGGCCAAGCGTACCTGGAAGTGACGAGAGTTTGTCGTTCAGTCATGGGCGACTCTTTAGCTTACGATGTCAGCAATCTACAGAATCCCATAACTGGGCTCTAATACCAGATGTAACGACTCGACTTATCCTATAAGTAGCGGTCAGGGTCATTACCAAAAATAATTTGTTTATTTAAAAATTAATGAAAACTATGCAAAAACGATAATTTATTAAAATTAGGTGTGGGTACCCTTTAAAAGATTAAAAAATGCTGCCTAAAAATGTTCAAACAATGTAAAAAATTAAAATCAAAAGGTAATCTAAACTAGGTGTCCACAGACATGATTTAAATTCGAAAACGTCTATCCATGAAAGTGAAATTCCAATAAAAATAAACTCCTTGTGTCACCCCATAACTAACTTTGGCATCCCACTCGTCACCTCCGTGCCATAGCTTCGCTTGAAAACCATTTTAAAAACAGGGTGAGTATTAAAATACTCAGTACGAAACTTCCCTATCGGGTCAAATACATAAATAAAGATAATCAACCAAAATTGAGGAACCCTCGTGGTTAATCATCCAAAACACGCAGCGGGTGATTATTGCCACAAGAAAATCAATGTCTACCTTTACTTCTTAAAATGATTATCCCGAGCTAGTTACCTGAAACACACAGTGTGTAACCATTACCACGAGAAAATCAACACCCCTCCTTATTTCCTCAAAATGACTATCCGTTGGTTACCCTAAACACACAACGTTTAACCCTTGCTTTGATAGTCATTTTCTACCATCATCATCGAAAGTGACTATTAGTGGCTAGTTACCAGAAACACACATCGTGTAACTATTACCACGAGTCCCTTAGCCATTGTCATCAACAAACACAATATGCATGCAATAGGTCCCCACATATATTGTGTCATACAACTTATATCGAACTCAATCATCAAATACAACTAAACACAGCCAATAGTTTATACAGTGTTTAACAGTCATCAATTACCCAATATTTATAGCCCACCAACAATTCGACAACAGACTTACACAACCCATAGCACACAACCAACAAATTACACAACACACAACCAACAAATTACATAGCACACACCAATAGATTATATAGCACACAATCGACAAATTACACAGCACACAACCAATCAAATTACACAGCACACAGCCATATGACAAATATGTTCGACCTTTTTTCAAAAACAAAACATTTAGTTTCAACAGGAGGGTCTTTTACCTAGAGAGCTCCTTTCCTAACCGTTCCTACAGCTATTGGTTCACTCCGACTTAGATCGAGCCTACTGTCCACATAGAGGTTGGTTCCAATCCTACCAACAAAGAAATTTTGTGTATTGGGCCTTACATAAACATTCTTTATTAAGGTGTAAAAACATGTCCCTTGCAAGCGCATTTTAAAAATGTTGAGGGGAAGCTCGAAAGGGAAAAACCAAAGAGAACAATATCTGCTAGCGGTGGACTTGAGTCATTATAAATGGTATCAGAGGCAAACACAATGTGCCACAATGAGGTTGAGCCCCAACAAAAGGTGGACATGAGACGGTGTGCCAGCCAGGATGCTGGACCACAAAAGGGGGTGGATTGGGGGTCCCCCCATCAATTGGAGAAGAGAATGAGTTCGAGCAAGGACGCTGAACCTGAAGGGGGTGAATTATGAGATCCTGCATCGGTTGGGGAGGAGAACAAAACATTCTTTACAAGTGGGTGGAAACCTCCCATAGCAGATGCGTTTTGAAAACCTTGAAGGGAAGCCCGAAAGAAAAATCCCAAAGAGGACAATATCGACTAGCGGTGAACTTGGGCCGTAACAAAAGCTACGACGATTTTATGCATTGTCACGTGCATCATAATACTTATTCATTATGATGGGTATATATGCGTACTTTATGATATCTATGTTTGTATGATTTCATGCAGGTTCCTTTTCCTTCGTGGCTCCGACAGCGTGAGCGTGCACTAATTTAAGGGCTAACTCAGGGGGTGTGGATAGTCGGGCGGGTGAGTTCATGTGTAGAGAAATACAAAATCCAATTCTAGCATGGACCAGAAAACAGAGTCCAATCCCATGAATTTTTTTTTAATAAAAGAATTAGATCCCTCAACGATTTCTTATACATGCATTTTTCGACTTTAATAATGGGGTTACATACTGAGTATTCTTAAAATACTCAACTAACATGATATTCTTATTTTTCAGGTAAAGGTAAGACACCCTGTATGGAAGACTACATTCCTGGGACGACCATGTGACTAAACGTAGTCCTAGGTTAGATAAGGGCAAATACTTTATTTTCATTGTTTTATTTTAATTCATATTTGATTATTTTTCGCAACATTGTTATAATGACTTTATTATAAACTTGTAAGTCCATGACTTTATTTTAAAATGTTTTAAATGATTTTTTCGCACATTGTAGATACATTATGTATGTATTGACAACGTTGATTTAATAGAAAATTAGGGTTGTTACATTATTCACTTTTGAAGCGAGGAGTAGTAGGTAACATGATCATGTCGAATCCGAATCTAGAGCCATCGGGTGTCTATCTAATACTTATCTTAATTTATTGTCAAATTATCGAATTAAAAAAAAGGGATAATTTCAACGGTTGAGACAGCAAGGCGAGCCGAAGAGAGACAATTCTCCAATCAAATTTCTCCATCTTAATTGTGGCTGCAGTTAAATGGTGCACAGGAAGTAGCCAGCAGGTTGAAGAAGAGGGAGACCGAGAAGTGGTTGAGGTTGTGGCTCTCCTTGCCGATGGCAACCTTCACCTCTTCTCTCTCGCTCCCTCTGCAACTCCGACCCTCCTCATCACGCTCTCCTCGCCAATTTTCTTCTCCCCCACCCTCGCTTTCCTTCCCTCTTCTTCGTTCCTCCTCTAAATTCCCCTGCCGATTCTCAGCCCTAACTGTCTCCTCCTCTTTGGACTCCTCCTCCGATGACTTCGATCATGGCAAGCACTCGAATCCGCCATTTTCATCCAAGGTCAGATTGATTCTTCTAAGATTCTGTTCTGTTGCTTATGGAATTAGCTTTCATTTAGATTTATTCTATTGGAACACGTTGAATACAGAGCGTGAGAACAGATTGATTCTTTGCATACCGGTAGTTTGTTTAATTTTCTGTTGTTTAGTTGGTTTGAGTTCTCTTCCATTGGATTAAGTGGAAGAAAGTAGTTCTGGTTTTTCTGTGATTCGATTCAGTTGCCTATTGAATTAGCTTGCATTTAGTTCTGTGTTGGTAGAATGATTAACTGTGCTGGTACTTCGTAATATTTGTCATGTGATCGTCAAATCAAGCTACTTCATGTGATTAGGCTTCAATTTTTCTGTTGTGTGGGTACAACTCTTGCCCTACATACCAGTTAGCACGAACTCTACATATGTTCTTACTTATTTTACTATGTGATGTATTGTTTAATAAATAAGGGGATTTCACTACAATTTTTAAGCTACTAAAGTTTTTTAGATCTAATTTTTGTTGCATGTGATGAATTTTTTTATGTTTTCAGCATAAAATTCTTTAGTTGACAGTTTGTGTTTTCATTTTTCAGAAATCAGTTCTCTCATCTTTGATACAAGAGATAGAGCCATTAGATGTAAGCATAATTCAAAAAGATGTTCCACCGACCACTGTGGATGCTATGAAAAGGACTATCTCTGGCATGCTGGGCTTACTTCCATCTGACCAGTTTCAAGTTTTGGTTGAGGCTTTATGGGAACCAGTTTCTAAGTTATTAGTTTCTTCAATAATGACTGGGTTAGTTGACTGCCCTAATTTGTGTCTTTATGATTTCTGAGATTCCTTGAGAAGACAGAGAAGACCAACTTTTTTCACAGGAAAATTTGTATGTTTTTGTTGTAACAATTAAGCATCGTTAACCGTTTCATATGATATGATTTAAAAAAAAAAAAATCATTTTAACACATGATGGCTACTGATAGAGTTGAGTTGAGTCATCAATGTCTTCATTTCTGATACCAATTCATCCATGAAGAATGTGATATTTACTTTCTCCTTTCTAATTCCTACTACATGTTAGCACATTTTGATGGTAATTCTCTTTGTTTTTCTGATGGTATTTCAGGTACACATTGCGTAATGCTGAATATAGACTCTGCCTTGAAAGAAATCTTGACTTTGATGATGGAAATTACGACAAACAAACAAATGATGATTGTAGAATTGATCTACATGAAATGTTGCTTGACAGTGCTAATTCGGAGAACATTTTAGATGAAAATGAGGTTTCTTCTAAATGCGAGGAATTTTTGGATGAACCGTGTGAAAACCTTAATATTCAAGGCATTGGTGAAACTTCTCCTGAAGTTCAACAGCATATTCTTCATTTAAAGTTTCAATTATCTTCAATTAAAAAGGTATATATCCTTGTAAGTTTGGGGAGCCTCTACTTTATTTAACAAGCCCAGCCCCAAATGGGTTAATCATAATCATGCGCCGTTTTTAGATAATGATTTTAGGCAAATTTATCATATTAATTATCGGGTAATGGTGACAACTCTAAAGTTATTTGGCTATTTGCAACTGGCACATTCAATTATTCTGTTAAAACTAGTGGAGCCTGCATGGCTTGGAGTGTAAAACTCAGTCCAGCAATTGACTTACTTTGCTGAGAAAATGGAAGGATCTTTTCATCAGAGATTTTTACTTTCTACCATGGTTCTTGACTTATTGTTCTAACCTCTGTTCTCTTTGTTGTATCTATATATATATATATATTGACCAATATCCCATTAGTTCATCTAGGAAATATATACACATACATATATACATATATACATATATACATATATACATATATACATATGTACATGTATACATATGTACATGTATACATATGTACATGTATACATATGTACATGTATACATATGTACATGTATACATATATGCATATATATACATATGTATGTATATATACATTTATACATATATGCATATATATACATATGTATGTATATATACATTTATACATATATATATATATTGACCAACATTTATACATTTATATATATATATATATATTGACTAACATCCCATTAGTTCATCTAGGAACCTTCTGTGTTCTTTTCTAATAAACTTTCTTACGTCCCTGTGTTAATTTGTTGAAGGAACTCCATGAAGTCAAGAGAAAAAGTGCTGCTCTTCAGATGCAGCAGTTTGTTGGCGAGGAGAAAAATGATCTGTTGGACTATCTGCGATCATTACAGCCAGAAAAGGTGCGTTGATTTTTACAGAACAGTCAAAACCCTGGTTGTCAATTTAAGATCTTCTAGATGACGTCTGCAGTACACACATAGCTACTATGAAGACATTTACTGAACTTTGTAATATAGGCTCACCTTCATATTTGTCAAAGTAGCTTGCTATTTATATGTTTATTGAAATTTTGCTTTTGGTTGTTCATGTGAAGTTTGCTGTATCCTTCTTTTATTTTGTTAAGGATTAGGAATGTGCAAGAAAATGTTTTCTTATTCCGCATATTTTTACAATGGTTGATACAAGGCAGTGCATGGCATGACAAGGAGCAAATGTTAGATTGTTTTTTAATTCCCTCTCAAATATAAAAAGGTTGAAAAATATTGAAAAAAACAAGATATGAAAAAAAAAAAAAAAAATGTCTTCTGTCTAGTACGACCCGACTATTGACGATAAATTATTGTGGTTCTTCCACCATAAGTTATAATTGGCATGATATCTAATCAACCTATTTCCTCAACTTGTTCAACATTAAGAAATACTGCTGCTTCTGTTGATAGTCTCTGTAGCATGGCCATTGGTCATTATAAATTTGAAATTTTATCAGTGGATAAATCGTGTAGAAGTTCAAACTATTCTGGTCTGAGCTTCTAGATTTATCCAAGAATCCAAGTTGTTTACCAACCTTGAGCTCCTTCCTTGATTGACTTCAACAAGGATGAAATGTTTGCATTCCATCCATGCTTATCAATTTTCTTCTAACTCGTGTCATGGGTGTATAGGTAAGAGGTTTGGCTTTTGGCTAAACAGTTGGACCCCGTAGTGCAACTTATCAGGTTAAATAACACAGAATGATTTTTGTTTCTCTTTTTACATTTTTGAAGCATATATTGTTTCATTATTTTAATTCTACAAGATTGTATGCCTTTGTATTTTTATCTACGCTGGTTCTTCCGACCTCAGAGACCCACTCGCTCTCACATGTACCCACCCACCCACCCACACACACACACACACACACAGTTTGTGAATACGTGGATGCAACTCTGTTACAGGGAACATGTTCAATTTATTGATTTGCACTACCCTGTTGGGAGGGGGCGAGGAGCATGCATGAGATTGTGGATCACGTTTATGTTTGGCTTTATTATGATTTTTCCTTGGCTTACTTCAATTATTTATGATAAACAGGTGGCTGAGCTCTCTGAACCTACATCCCCTGATTTAAAAGAAGCCATACATTCTGTTGTCCACGGACTTCTTGCAACCCTTTCCCCAAAGATTCATTCCAAAGTTCCTCCTCAATCAGAAAATATTGGAACTGGCACGACAGATATTGGTAATGAAGATTGTGCAGAACTCGTTGAGAATACTTCTCTCCAATTCCAGCCCCTCTTAACATTAACACGAGACTATCTGGCTCGTCTGCTTTTCTGGTTAGACAACTTCTCGTGTTCTTATTTTTCATTGTGTGCATGCTATGTACAATAGTGCACTATGTTTAAAATATTTAGCTAGAAAATGTAACAGCCGACTGCTAGCTGTCCTCTTTGAACTTTTCCTTTTGAGTTTTTCCTCAAGGTTTTTAAAACGTGTATGCTAGGGAGAGGTTTCCACACCCTTATAAAAAATGGTTCGTTCTCCTCCCTAACTGATATGGGATTTCACAATCCATCCCCTTCGAGGCCTAGTGTCCTAACTGACACTCGTTCCCTTTCCCAATCGATGTGGGACCCCCATCCACTCCCATTGGGGGCCTAGCGTCCTTGCTGGCACATTGCCCGTGTCCACCTCCTTCAGGGCTCAGCCTCCTCGCTGGCACACCGCCTCGTGTCCATCCCCTTCGGGGCTCAGCCTCCTTGCTGGCACATCGCCTGGTCAGCCCAAGTCCACTGCTATCAGATATTGTTCTTTTTGGACTTTCCCTTTCGGGCTTCCCCTCAAGGTTTTTAAAAAGCGTCTGCTAAGGAGAGGTTTTCACACCCTTATAAAAAAAAAATATTTCGTTCTCCCCAACCGATGTGAGATCTCACAGAAAATCTGACCATGCAGTTTGTTTTATTGGAAAAAGGTCTTTTCTGCATAATTATTTTAATTATTTAGAAAATCCTGCTGATTTATTTCTTCCTTCAACTGGATGGAGTTTGTGTGTGGTTCTGCTATTAACTTAATATTGCACCAATTTTATTAAAGGTGTATGCTGTTGGGGCATTACATGAGAGGCCTGGAATACAGGATGGAGCTGATGAACCTTCTTTCCCTTTCAAGCAATGTTGAAAATGCTTCAGGTGGCGTGACCAGTGATGACTTTTCTTCACAGTGCTGAGGGCGACAGTGACAGAGTTCTGAAGGGGTGGGTGGGGCTTCGATTTCTTCTGGAAGTATATATACAGCTTTCAAGTAAAGGTGATTATTCTTTTTTCCTTTCTTTCTGTTGGTTATTTTCCCTAGTGAATATAGATTTTGTTTTCCTTTTCTTTCTTTATTTGTTTGGCACGCCACACCAAAACATTGTACAAATACAAATCTTTATTGTCAATTCTAGTAGAAGTCTAATTGATTAAAGGGTTTTATTTAAGTGCATTACTCTATTAGAAGTTTTTATCTAAGTTCATTATTCCAGTCTTCACGATGCAAGTCGGGGCTCGTCCCCGATCAATATTGGATCAAACAATAGGGGGCCGTAGCAGGATTGCTTGGTTGAGTTCTCCCACATAGCGTCAAGGAATCGAAGCAATCCTAAGATCGTACGTTTCTTAATGTTGTTTTGTCTTGAGTTAGACCCAAAGTCGAATTTATGTATCCAGTAAAGATTTGCTTATCAGATATCATGTTTCAGTGTGTCAATCTTATAGCCCTTGATTTGTTCTCGAGTCAGGGGCATTTTCTTGCCGCATAAAGAAACAAACTTACCTAGAAAAAGATAAGAGGTATTTTAAGTTTATTAATCTCATTTTTTTAACTTGTTGACATTCATCGAAATTCAACTTTCCAATCCAATTCAACTCTGACTTTCTTGGGAGAGTCCAAAATATGAACCTACTAAAAATTCATAACTTATTCTCAAGAAAAACTCTTGAATTTGAAGGAAACCAAAATTCAAGAATTTGAAAATTACACCTTTCGTTCTTCCTTAATTCTTGACGGAATTGAGTGATTCCACCCAAGATGGTTCTCCTAAGGCCAATGAGCAATTCTTGTGAAGAAACTTCATAGAAATTTCGATAGACGTTTGGAGATGATTCCTACTTTCTCTCATATTTCCATGTTTGTTTTTAAGCCCTTGCTGTCGTAAGCAGCAAGAGGGATAACGGAGGAGAGAATGGTGGACGGGGATTACGCTGACTGCCGTTGAAAAGTGTCGGAGAACGTAAGGAGGTGGAAATCAGATGGATCTGGAAGTGAAAGTCGGGCAAAGAAGAAGACGTTCACGGGTAAGAAGCGAAGTCGAGTAAGACTTCAAGCCCGGTCAACATTAATACCCATCCTATGCACAACCTCACGCCTAACATTTTTCCAGCCTAAACGCTCACATTTGGCCTAACCCAGCGAACACCGTAGCCCAATAAGACGTGTTTTGGAATCCACACCTCGACCCAAAAATTCGAGCGCTCGACCAGCGTTACTTAGCCGAGCTTACACGTGTGGCGTGCGCGTACCAAGCCATCCCCCAAACCTCAGTTCACCTTCAGCTCAATCGAGCCATTCTTCCTGCCCTCGACTCACAGTTGACTCAACGACTCCATTGGTCGGCTTGACGACTTATTTAGCTTGGGTTGCACACTTTGGTATCTATTCCTATGGTTACAACCCTTTGAAAGCTGTTTTGACCTTATTGTTGGCATTTAGGTCTGCATGATCCTTCCTCAATTTAAATTTTTTTGAGCTACAAATTGGAATTATTTAATATTTTAGGTAAGTTAAGTTTACTATTATATTTTAATATGATATCGTGGGTTGCACTAGGTTGAAACCAACTTTGAGGAACAAAATCGAGCTTTGGAAATATTTAACGACTTTGACTTAGATCGACCATGTAAGTGACTCTACTGAACTTTAGAAATATTTAGTAACTCTACTATGTAAGTAGCTCTACTGTTGATTTAGTTGGATGAATGGAATAATGTATAATGACACGTGCTCCGTGGCTCCTGCACGTGTCATATGTATCAATGATATCCTACGCTATGTAAATTATGTCATGTATATAAGCCAAGTTATAATGTGACTATTCTATGTTGTATAAAATATTATGATATTGCAATTTTATAATGCATAAACCTCCATAGATCATGCCATGAAAACTACGCTAGGTATGAAAGAATTGACATAGATTATACACGCATAATTCACCTACTTCAATATGTTACAGATGAATGGAAGTTTGACTTGCATCATAAATTATGCCATGATTTTAATTTATGGGGACTTCATACATATTTGTGTGTCATGTGCATCGGGATATTTCATCGTTATGATGAATACGAAAGAGTATATTACGACTCGTGACATTTATGTTCGCCATAATGTTAAGCAGGCTCTTTCCCTCCGTGGTGTCTGACACCGTTCATTAGCAAGTGTTAACCCAATGAGCCAAGCCTAGAAGGGTGTGCGAGCCTATCAGGTGGGCCCATGTTCGCATGCGTGGACCGGTTGTAGAAAAATACTACACATCCAATCTTACTTGGATTGAAAAGCTACCTAAGGCAAACAACCTAATGCCATGCCATGATGTTTTTAAATGATAGGTCCCACCATTTTGTATGTGTTTACATTTTTCGACCCCAATAATAGAATTACTTATTGAGTATTTCTTAAAATACTCAAATCACGTACATAAAGGTAAGACATCTTTGTACCAATGACGACGTCACGACGAAGGCCATGAAACCAGCGCTAAGGTGATTTATTTTTCCTATTCATTTCAAATGGTACGTTATTTATTTCCACTTTCCTATTTTGCCTTGTGTTGTTTTAAAGGTTTTACTAAGAACATTTAAGTCAATAACATTGTTTGACATAATTTTAGATAAATGTTTCTGCACTTAAGAGTCATGTCATGCATAAGGCAACGAGAAAAATAGGTCTTTAGAAAAAATGCAAGTCCATTATACGTCGAACAGTTAGTGACACAAATTTTTATAAGAAACTCATGAATTTGGTACTGAAATCGTTCGTTTCTACTTCAGTTGTCTTAGTCCTTATCTCCCTACGATGTTCGTGTGAGGAGAAGGAGATAAAGAAGATTCATGGTAAGTTACTCGAAGAGGGTTGCTCAACTCCAAAATCTCCTAAACTAAAGGGCGTACGAACCGATCATGGCATTTCACTGATGAAAAAGTGTCAAAGAGCTTTTGAGGACAACAAGCAGGTAGTGATTGATGACTCTGTATTGCAGTTGCCAGATTACACGTTTTAGGTTATCCAGAAGGAATGGAATGACTAATGTGATGTGAAACCTCCGCAAAGAAAAAAATCCTTGAACTTCCCTGAAGGCCGGCCAATTCGTGACAACCCCACAACAAAGAGTGATTTAAAGAAACTCGAAAGAGACCGAAAAAAAAAAAAAAAACATTCTTATGATTCTTATTGAATAAAAGCCCAAACAGCATTACATTTCTTAGTTACATACCATAAATACACAATGTTTATCAAACCAACCAAACTTCACTCACAAACTCTCAACCTTTAATACTCATATTCAAACACAAAATTATTTGGTCTCTTGGAAGGTTGGTTTTAAGGAGACAATGCCACAATGGCCTTAAAATCAAGGGCACTTGGCCCTGCCCCTAAGGGTGTGCACATGGCTATAGCAAGGGCAGTGGCGCTTCCCATAAGCCCCCGGCACACACTTGCATTTACCGCAACATATTCTGCAAAACTTCATGCACTTACGCTTCAGCTTCGCATGCGAGCACCTCTTCCTGCACGGTCTCGTGCACACATCTTTGCCCCGACCCCAACACATTCCATGTATCATCACTCGAGTCAATTTTACTCTTATAATTCAACTTTTTATTTGTTTCATTTTCAATAACTCTAGCTAACATAATTTGAACTCATTCTTTTTTTTATTTTTTATAAGTTTCGATGTGCCCATTAAACTCATAAAAAAGTTTTAACAGATGTTCGTGAGTTCTGTCCAAACATTTTTTTTAGATCTAACCTAATTGTTACGATAGTAAATTTTGTAAGTTAAACAACTTTTATTAATAAGTAATCAACTTCATAAAAGTATATATTTTAAAATTAATAATAAATTTAAACTAACCCATGTTAAATAAGTTCATAACTAAACTCAAAGTTCAAGCTAAGATTAATTTCATTTTTCGTGTAATCAAATTTTTTGAATGATAGAAATTTAATAAACAGCTAACACATATTGTCTTTTTGGGTTTTTTTTCTCCGTCTTCCTCTCAACATTTTTAAAACGTGTTTACTAGGGAGAGGTTTTCACACCCTTACAAAGAGTGTTTCGTGTTGGGGATTATTGGGAGCGAGTCCCACGTTAGTTAATTTAGTAGAAGATCATGAGTTTATAAGTGAGAACATTGGTATGCGGCCTTCTGGTGAAGCTAAAAAAAAGTCATGAGAGTTCATGTTCAAAGTGAACAGTATCATATCATTGTGGAGAGTTGTGATTCCTAACATTTCGTTCTCCTCCAACCCGTCAAAGTGGACAGTATCATACCATTATGAAGAGTCGTGATTCCTAACATTTCGTTCTCCTCACAACCCGACGTGAGAAAAAGAACCGAGTGTTTTTTTTTTTCTTTCCATTTTTGGAGATTGAGTGCATTATATTAAGGTAAATAGCATACATTTGAGTAAAAAAACAGGCATGAATTTGGAAGCTTAGATTGAAGGAGAGAAAATGGAAGATGGAAGAGTTAGAGAGAGAAAGTACCTGCGGCGGCCATGGCGGTTTCCATGAACGAAGCACTTAAGAGAAGAAAACAGAAGAAGCAACCCACAATCAAGATCTGACCTCTCATCTTCTTCCTTCCAACACCACGAACCAATTCTCAGACACTACACTCACTTCTCACACACTCAGTGTTTTTAAGCAAGAACACTGAGCTGAGCGTGGATCCATTTAAAATTTTAAACTAAATAAGGTTGAAAATATTGAAATTGGAGGAATGTTATTTTACTATCATGTTTGATGAGTTGGTTTAATTATTATTGATTAAAAAATAAATAATATTTTATTTTGTTTTTTTTTTAAATGTGGGTGGGGTAAGAAAAATTAATGTAAAGACAGAGAGAACAGCTGTAATGGGTGGGTGAGAAGAGAGGGGATCTATGCGCTCTGTCGGTGAGGAGTCAGGATGGACCCTCCAACACGCTCTCTTTCTCTTATTATTTACACTATTTTCCCCAAACTCTCTCTTTTCTTAGGTAATATTCTTTTCTTTGAGGGTTAATCTGCAAAAACAAAACTTGTTGTGGAAGAATGGAAATAAAAGAATCAAACAAAGAAAATTAGGTTTGGATATTATTTTTTGTTTCGATACCCACAGTTAGTAGATATTGTCTTCTTTGGCTTTTCCCTTTCGAGCTTCATCTCAAGACTTTAAAACGCATCGGCTAGAGAAAGGTTTCCACACCCTTATAAAGAGTGTTTCGTTCTTCTCCTCAACCAATGTAGAACTCTCACACATGTACTTTCAGAACGTTTATTTTGGTCTATAAAGGGTCTATGAACGTTTGTTTTGTTCCTTTATTTCCGATTTGATTCGTTTTAGATTCAGTTTGGAACAATACGATAGTTAGTAAAGGATAAAAACAAGTGGAAGTGGAGTTAAAATGAGACCTGTCTCCCATGACAACAAACCGTCTCTCCTCGTCACAACTATTGCACGCCCTTACTTGAAAGTTAATCAAGGAACCTAAAACCGTTAAAAAAGGGGTCAACCATCTTGTAACCTTGCTTGAGATAGGATAACCAACATGTACCTCTATCTAGACCGGGAAGCACTGATCAACCAACTTGAGACCATATGCAAAACATGACCACCTAGATGGTGGTATGTAAAATTGAAACCTTGCCCCAACCAACCTATGACCAAAAACAAAAATGTGGGACAACTAGTCTATATCTTTGGAGTTACAACTAATTCATATACTTGACATATAATTGTCACAAATTTATTTAACAAAGACCATTTCATTCAAAGCATGCAAGAGATCGTATAACTGTAAAAGCATTTGGTGATGCACATCAAACACATAAATCACATAACAATCACATGCCTACATTATTAGGTTATGGAGTTTGCTGCTTATTTATACCTTATTCAATGGTTATACATAGTAAAGTTATATATATATGGTAAATGACATATAAAGTAAATTGTCATATAACTAGTAAAAACGGTACTATATCTAGTAGATAGTTATATATAGTAGTAAACTGAATCATATACATACCTTATTAGACAATGCTTTGAAAATGTACTTTTTGTATTCTCTCTTATTATACACAGTTGAAGTAATCAATATAAACTTCTAGTCAATCTTGTTCCTTGCATTTTCTCTCTCCTATTCTTTGTGTTCATCAAAATTGAGTGTATTGCTGTTGTGAAATCCTAACAACTGGTATCAGAGCTAGGCGAGATTCACCACGATCTGTGAAGATGGAAAACTCAAATATTGGAATTGAGAAGTTTGATGGATCTGATTTTGGTTTCTTGAAGATGTAGATTGAAAATTATCTGTACCAGAAAGATTTTCACGAACTTTTGTCAGAGGTGAAGCCGGATACCATGACTACGGAGCAGTGAAAGTTCAAGGATCGACAGACCCTAGGGTTGATCTGATTAATGCTGTCAAGAAACTTGGTGTTCAGCATCATTTAGGAGAAGACAACATCAAATCTATTGAAGGTGTTGTCGAATATGTACGAAAGTCGGTTATGAATAAGGTGTATTTGATGCGGTGATTATTCAATCTACAAATGTATGAAGATGGATATGTTGCAGATCATATATATAAATTTGATATGATTTAAGTCAATCAAGCTCAGTGAAAATTAATTTCGAAGATGAAATTAAAGCACTGGTTTTGATGTCATTCTTACCCAAGTCTTAGGATACTGTAGTTACTATGATCAACAGTTCTCAGAGATCTGAGAAACTAAAGTTCGATAAAATTTGAGATCTAGTTCTTAGCGAAAGTATTCGCAAACGAGAAATTAAGGATTCATCAGGAAACGCTCTCAATGTTGATCGAAGGGGAAGAAATAAATCAAAAGGTCCAAACAAAATGTCCGATCAAAATCAAAGAATCGGAGAAAATCTCGACCAAATGTAACATGTTAGAATTGTGGACAAAAATAGCCATTTCGAACCGATTGTAGAAAATAGAAAAAGAAACAAAATCACAAATCTGTAGATGATGATGATTCTATATATTCAGCAGAAGATATTGAAGATGCTTTAATCCCTAGTGTGGATAGCCCGACTGAATCTTAGATTTTGGATTCAGGTGTATCGTTTCATTCGTCTCCAAGTACGGAATTGTTTCGAAATTTTAACTAAAAAAATTTCATAAAAGTATATCTGTCGACAAAAGAAAAAATCTTTAATATTGAAGGGAAGAGGGATGCCAACATACAAACTCAAGCCGAAAATCAATGGACATTAAAGAATATCAAATATTTTTATGGTCTCAAAAAGAACTTAATCTCTATTGGTTAGTTGAATAGCACATGCAGTAGAGTTTGAGAATAGTTCTTGGAAGATTGTGAATGGTGTTATGGTGGTAGCATGTGACACAAAATTTGGAACCTTATACTCCGTTGCAGGTGTATAAAACATGTATGTTGTTGCTAAGAGTGATTCATATTCAAGTCTATGGCATAATAGAAATGAACATATGATCGTCAAAGGAATGAAGATGCTGGTTGCAAAAGGAGTTTAGAACGCATAAAGTTTGTAGAAATTGGTCTTTGTGACAGCTGCGTTATGCTCAAATAGAAACAAGTTAGCTTCACAAAGGTTGTTAGAGAATCGAAAAAAGTGCGATTGAAAATGGTAATACAGACATTTGGGGACCATCTTTAGTTCCATCACTTGGTGGATCAAGTTCTACATCACCTTCATAAATGATTTCAGCAGGAAGGCATAAGTTTATTTTCTGAAACACAAGTTAGATCTGTTTGCCACCTTCAAGAAGTGGAAAGTTGAAGTTGAAAATCAGACCGGCTTGAAGATCAAAATCTTGAAGTTCAACAATGGAGGAGAGTATGATAAGTTAGAATTTAAAGCATTTTGTGCAACTAAGAGAATTAGATTGACAAAGATAGTTCCCAATAAAGTAAGATAAAATGATGTTGCTGAAAAGATGAACAAAACATTAAATGAGCGAGCAAAGAGTATGATGATTCATTCTAGACTACCAAAGACATTTTGAGACGATGTTGTAAATACATCATCCTACTTGATCAATAGAGGGTTGTTAGAACCCTTTGAGGTCAAGTTGCCAGAAGAGGTATGAACAAGAAAAGAACTAAAGTATTCTCACTTGAGAACTTTTGGCTACACTGTGTATGTTCGTGTTGATCTAGAGAAGAGTGACAAGCTTGAAACAAAGGCTCTGAAGTGCTACTTCATAGGCTACAATTCTGACATGTTCGGGTACAAGTTTTGGGATGATAAGAACAGAAAACTCCTGAGACATTGTGATGTAAATTTTGATGAAAATGTCTTGTACAAGAACAAAGAGAAGAAAGGTTTTGAGACAGTAAAGCAAGTGGGAGTTGAGGTCGAGGTCGAGTTGCGAAAAAATTCACCTAGTGATGTTATAGCAGATACTCATGAAACTTCTGAGACTGTTGTTTAGGATCCATAGGTGGAACAAGTGACACTTGAGTATATGTTGAAAAGATCATCAAAAACTATCAGAGTACCAGATATGTTGTACCTTCATTACAGTATATGTTGTTGACTGATGAAAGGGAACAAGAATCTTTTGATGATGCCATATAGTCGAAAGATACAACAGAAGTAAGTCATGGATGATGAGATGAGTTGGATAATCTAGACTTCAGAATTGTCTTGTTCTTTCATCTAGTAAGGCTGAGTACATGACACATGACAATAATTGAAGTTGTTGAAAGAAGATGATATGGATGATAGACTATCTAGAAAAATTAAGCAAGAAGCCATGCAAGAAAATTGTTTATACAAGTGGTCAAAGTATCATACAGTTAGAACCCAGTTTATCATTAAAAAACAAATCACATATGTTGCTTATTTTTAGTTTATTCAATTGGGTTCGATATGTCTCGAGAATTTTTAGGTTAGTCTCAGGCTTATTTATAGCTACGTATGTTAAATGAAAGTAAATGTTCATAAATAATAGACTAACTATAATTTCAATTGTTATACAATTGTTATAAATAGTAAAACTATAAATGAAAGTAAATGTTCATAAATAGTAAACAACCATTAAAAAAAAAAAAAGTTATATCTCGACCAAACTATCTCTAATAAATATATGTATATAGTAGATGGTTATATCGGTAGAATTGTACATGATAATAAATAGATGTATATAGTAGATGGTTATATCGGTAGAACTGTACATGATAGTAAATAGATGTATATAGTAGATGGTTATATCGGTAGAACTGTACATGATAGTAAATAGATGTATATAGTAGATGGTTATATCGGTAGAACTGTACATGATAGTAAATAGATGTATATAGTAGATGGTTATATCTGTAGAACTGTACATGATAGTAAATAGACGTATATAGTAGATGGTTATATCGGTAGAACTGTACATGATAGTAAATAGACGAATATAATAGATGGTTATATCGGTAGAACTGTACATGATAGTAAATAGACGTATATAGTAGATGGTTATATCGGTAGAACTGTACATGATAGTAAATAGACGTATATAGTAGATGGTTATATCGGTAGAATTATACATGATAGTAAATAGATGTATATAGTAGATAGTTATATCAGTAGAACTGTACATAGTAAATTGAAGCATATATATATATACCTCATTACCCAATGTTTTGAAAATGTACTTCGCAATTCTTTATATTCTCTTTTATTATACACTTAAAATCATTAATATAAACATTTAGTCAATATTCCTCCTTGCATTTTCTCTCTCCTATTTTTTATGTTCATTGTGTGCATTGATGTGCGATCCTAACACACATCTCTAATAGTTTAAAAACTGGAACGTATCTTACATTGAATGGTTCCTAGTAACAACAAAATCCTCGGTCCGCTTACACTAACTTTAGACCAAATCATACGTCCTAAAATTAACCCACAACATTGGAAATATTTTTAAAGACAGAGAAATATTTTTCAAATTTTAAAAAATATATTTAATATCTAATATATTAAAATATACATTTTCTTTAAATTTAATAAAATATCCGGATGTATGTTGAACCAAATTGAATTGTAGTCCAATTTGAGAAGGACGTCCTCCCGAACTGCTTGGTAGATGGCGGCAAGAGTCATTTTGTCCTTACGCTCCTCAACATCGTTACTGAGAATGTTTGCTAAAACCTCCAAACATATAATTTTCATATCGTTTCTCATATCATTTATCATAATTTACATGCGTATGTTGAAGTTGTATTTCATATTAGTACGTCGTTTTACATGTCAATCATAACATATCATTTATGTTACATATCAATCATATCATAATTTTTCATGTTTTAAAACCTAACAATTCATATCGTGCAGATATCGTATCATATATCATAATAGTCACATAACAATCTCGAGCATTTCGTCAACATATTGTAAAACATATCAATTCATCAAATACAGCATAACAATCAATTCACATAACATTTACATATCATTTCATAACAGCTTGCATATACAGACCTATGACACGTGCGAAGTCACGAGCCCGTGTCATCATGCAACACACAATTATAACCAAACGATGGTAGGATCACTTACTTGGTTGGCCTTAGTCGACGTTGTCCCTAATTTGAGTACGTTAGCTCCTGTTCCTCGAAAATTCTCCAAACTATCGCCGATTGTCGTTTCCTATTAGGCCGTTCATCGATTTTCATTAGTTTTTCACAATTCCATATCCGTTGGATCTTATCTTCCTCACTCGACTTCTCACAATTTCTCGATGGGTTTCTCTCTCCTCTGAAACGTCGTTTCAACGTTCATTTCTCGCTGTTTTCCTTCGGTTCTTCGTCCTTTCTCCTTCCTCTTCACCTGCAACGTAGTTTTATGGATGGTAAGCACCTAAAACACAGATCCGTGAGGGCCAACCAATCCAAAACTTGAACTCTATTTTCCAACAACAAATCACGTTGTTAAGGCGTGAAAGCTTACCTTCTTCGTGTGTACAGTCCTCGATGATTCCTTTCACAGCGTGGGTAGGTTTGTTTCGACATCGGATCTATGGGTTTCGTCTCGTCGTAGCGTTTTTGGATCTATCTCTCTCTCTATTGTTTTTCTGTCTTTCCTCCTTGCAAGGCGTCTAAGAGTGTATGGCAGAAGGGTGTGGGTTGTCTTGGCAAAGCGAGAGCATCGGAGGGGTGTGAGACCGAGATGGGTGCGAGAATTCGGACCTCTTGCTGGAATTCTCACACGTTTTTCGGTGACTGTAGTAACGACCCTAGATTTCAGCTACCTAAAGTCGCTATTGTCATCTTAGTCTAAGCTCATATGCTAAATCTAACTCTTAAAACGTCATCATTTAAGTAATAAATTTCGAGATAAAACAAAATTCAATCATTGAAAACACCCCATGGTCTTACGTGTTTAACACCTAGTTCAAAAATGAAATTAAAAATGATAATGAAATAATTGAAAAATATGAAATGCAAAACAACCCATTCTAATCTAAGTCTAGGAATTTAAATATATTTCTATACTATGCACATATCATGGTCTCTACTTTGTGATATCATCGTCAACCGTACATGACCTTCTTGCCTTTACCTAAAAAATGATGTAACATACGGCCTAAGTATTTTAAAGAATACTCAATAAGTGACCCCACTATATGGGCCGTGAAAATGCAAATACATGCCACAATCCTCTAGGGACCTATCATTAAATCAACATAGGGGTGGTCTCCATTCCAGACTAACTTGGATGTGTAACACTTCTCTGCACACGACCCACACGTGCGAGTTTGAATCTCCAGACGGTTCGCACCCCATCTATACCCATCATCGTTGAGCTAGCTGTTCGTAGCGACGTCGGAGGTCAGCAGACCCCTGAGTGTCATGCTCAACATGATCACTATCATCATCATAGCGTACGCGTCCGTACTCATCATCATGAAAAAGGGAAGTGTTTCGATGCTTGTGTACATACAAAAATGCATAAGGTCCCTCTAATTTTCTTTTCTTTGAAACGTCTTTTTGTCACAACCCTAGTTTCATCCTATTAGTCATACATGTGCGTTAACTATCCATCTTAACATCATCATTAATCTTTTTTAGGGTTGTGTCCTAGGTCAATTTCTCGACATAATGCAATGTCATTCATAATATGCATCTTAACTTAATATGGAAGCAGCGTCATCATTTAAGGAATTATGATCATGCTTCGTCATTGTCATACACCATCATCATACATCGTCAAATACATCATAACCATCATAACACGTCATCGGCATGCATCATCATCATACATCGCCAAGTACATCATAAAGCATCATCATAAATCATCATATAACTCATACATCATACGTCATAATTATAAAGCATACAGGACATGTGTCAGTGCTACTGGCACATGTCGTCATACAACAAACAAGTATCTAATCTATAGTAAGGTCACTTAGTTGATCTTAGCTAGCGTTCTCCCTAAATTAATATACGTTAGCTCCCGTTCCTCAAAAGCTACTTCAAACATCACCGGAGTTCGTTTTCTATTAGATTGTTCGTTACCTTCCATTAGTATTTCACAATTTAATAATAATTCAACTGACATATGTGAAATACTGCATTGAAACGACCAGCCGAGTCGATTCGAGCCGCAGAGTCGAAAAAGCTGCTCACTGCAGGTGTGCCTTGTGGCTTGTAGATGTCTAAAATGGGAGATCTACCAAATTCCAAAAAGCTTGAACTTCTGATCGCTTTTCCGATGACAACTTTAGATGCAAGTCTCATGACTTTGCTTTTGGCTTCATTTAAAATGTGTTATATCAATAGAGATATTGCTCTTCCAACTTATATATCCACGAACTTCCCGTTGTTTCTTCCAACTTATATATCCACTCTAAACAAAATAGGATTTTGGTCACCCTCCCACCGTTCAGTTCTTGAAAATATCTTATTTCCATCAAGAACTTTATTTTTTTCATGCAAAGTATTTGTTTGATTTAGTCTAAGATTCTAGTTTCTTTGCCACAAAAGAATCCAAGCAAATGGGTATTTATATATAGAGAGAGAGAGACCAAAGGGTAGTAAATTAAAAGAAAATAAAGTCCCAAACAAAAGAAAGGGGCAAATAATAGTAAAAATGAAATGAAATATAGAGCAGCCCAAGGGAACACAGACACCAAAAATGGGGGCTCTGCACAACCAAAACACATATCAACAATGTCCACTCCTCACCCTAACACCATCATAAATACATATCCCATTCCAAGCATCACCATCCTCCCCACCATCGTCTCCACTGCTCCGCTCTGCAATTATCAATCACCCTTCCATTAATACTCACTCATTTTAAAGGCGCGTTGGTTTACTGAATGATCCTTGAGTTTATAATCAAAGAATACTCTATTCATTGGTACATTGGTACGAGGCTGTGAGAGCTTATGCTCAAAATAGACAATATTATACTATTGTGGAGAGTCGTGTTCAAACTAAAAATTATAATTTTGTAAGTTACTTACATTGTCGTTTTGAGATGGGGTGGGAGAATCGGAGCTGGTGGGTACTGGGGCCTCAGCTGATGGTGCGGGTGGACTCGACAGTGGCGATGGTGATGAAGCTGCCTTTGACTTCTTCTTACTGGGTGCAGGAGCCGGGACTGCTGCTGGTGGGGATGCCAACGGCGCAGGTGGTGGGGTTGCTGGAGGCGGAGTAGCTGGAGGAGGAGATGCCGGAGGAGGAGGTGAGACAGGAGGGGGAGTGGCTGGAGGGGGAGATGAAACAGGCGGAGGAGTGGCTGGAGGGGGAGATGAAACAGGCGGAGGAGTGGCGGTGGGAGGAGTGGAAGGGGACTGAGCTCCGGCGCCGGCGAAGACAATGTAGATGAAAGTGAAACACAACAAAGCTTGAGGATCCATCATTGTTGTTTTCTGAAGAGGAAATGAAAGAAGAAAGAGAATAAATAGAGAATTTAAGGAAATTTAACGTAAGAAATAATTTAAGGGCTGACCTCCCCGCCACCAAACTCATCTGAGGAACCTGTGCTGTCGGTGGGCCCACAGACAATGAAATTTGGACCAACATGGATTGTGGGAGAGCAACGTGGCAGGACAAATTACTCAAGAACACTCCTAATTATGAGCTAATTATTTAAAATAGTAAATCGTAAAATTTGTCAGTCTTGTTTAAGATATCTTGAAGGTGGGATGTGATATCCCAGGTTAGTTAGGGAAAAGAATAAAACATCATTTTTAAGAATGTGGAAATTGAAACATACTTTATAAGAGTATGAAAACTTTTTTCTAGCAGATTCGGAAAAGTCCAAAGCAGACAATGTCTGCTAGCGGTGGGCTTGGGGCGTTACAAATGGTATCAGAGCCAGACACAGGACAATGTGGCAACGAAGAGGCTATCTACTAGCGGTGGACTTGGGCCGTTACAAATGGTATCAGAGCCAGACACTAGACGATGTGTCAGCGATGTGACTATTCCCCGAAAGAGGGTAGACACGAGACGGTGTGCCAGCAAGGACGCTGGACCCGAAGGGGGGTGGATTTGGTAGGGACCCCACATTGATTGGAGAAAGCAACGAGTGTCAGCGAGGACGTTGGGCCCTGAAGGGGGCTGGATTTTGATATCCCACATTGGTTGAGGAAAAAACAAAACACCCATTATAAGTGTGTGGAAACCATTCTAGACGTGGGAAAGCCCAAAGAGAACAATATCTGTTAGCAATAGGCTTGAGCCGTTACAGTGTAAAACGAAAAGCTTTATCATGATTGTAACAGCCAAAATCTACCGCTTGTAAAATGTTTCGTTTCTCTTTTGAACCGATATGTAATCTCACACGCGAGGGGTTTTGATTGTTTATATATAAAAGAAAAGGAAAACTTCACTTTTAATACAATCTTAGTTCACAATCATTACTATCAAGAGTGGGTGCTATTCATGGGGAAAACCCTTTTGAGGCAAATTTGGATCACACGCAAAGGTAGGATGGAGAGTTTGGTGAATCTTAGGAAGGTGTCATGGCCTGATTGGCTGAAGGTCGATGACGGTGACCGGTGAAAGATATATATAGTTCGTATAATTAAATTCTTTGTTAAGATAATAATTTGCTGTGAAAACAAACCAAACACATTTAATTATGATTAGTAACTAATTACCGGCCACCGTGGTAATTTAGTTTTAGAGTTAAAAGGCAGGTTAAAGTAATTAATACTAAATTATTACAACTTAAATATAATAATCAAAATATGCATGCTATTGTTATTTTAGTTATTTAATCTCAATTTTTTATAAAATAATTAATTTAAATTACAATATCATGTTTATTTTGATAAGAAAAACAATTGCTACAAAATAATCGTAAGAAAGAATAAAAAAAATAGATTATTTGTAATGACTCGACTTTTTAAAAGGCTATACCGACTAAGTTATTACTAAATACATGTTTACGCACAAACAAACAAAAACATGTCATTGAAAATTCATACACTTTTGAAGAAAAAGTAAAATTTGTGTGGAGACCCTTCTATGGCAATTAACGATCTCTCCTCCTCACGACCCTTTCACGCCTCTACCCTCATTGTAATAGAAACGAATTTTGAAAACTCAATCCCTACAAATTCCTTGCAAGGATCCCACCCTAACCCCACGAAAATAAACGAGAAATTTCGCAGGGATGAAGAATGAAATAAGAGGCAGAGACGAGGACAGGATCCCAGCCTATTCCCACGAAAATAAACAAGAAATTTCGCAGGGATGAAAAATGAAATAAGAGGCAGAGACGAGAACGGGATCCCAGACTATACCCACGAAAATAAATGAGAAATTTCGCAGGGATGAAGAATGAAACAAGAGGCAGAGACGAGAACAGGATCCCACCCTATCCCCACGAAAATATACGAGAAATTTCACAGAGATGAAGAATGAAATAAGAGGCAGAGACGAGAACAGGATCCCACTCTAACGCACAAAAATAAATAAAAAATTTCGCAGAACGAAGAATAAAATAAAAGGAAGAAACAAAGACAAGAACGAGAACGACTTTCCTATCTCAACCAGTATGCGCCTCTATATGCACCTACAAGCAAGCACGCACCGATCTGATCAAAGCACAAAACTTGACCAATATGCCTGTGGTCTTGTAAAATTCATGATAAACTTTTACAACATTTTTTTTTTTTTAATATGTTGTTATTTTTCCAATTTGATACCGAATTCAAGGTTAACATAACAGAGATGGTAAAAATATTGTGGATTTCTAATATTTAAAATACAAAAATTTAAAATAAAAATAAAAAAAGGTTGTTCACATATTAACCAGGAGGTAGAGAGGCTCCAAAAATGAACGTCCCACATCGGAAATGCGGCGTAAAGACTGCACCAAATGTCAATATAAAATGCCCTTGGATTGCCTGAAGACTTCATACCTTTCTCGGCCTTTTGGCTAAGATCAAGTGTAGTATCTGTTCTTATCAGTTTAATATCTGATACGTGGGCCATCGGCCCACATGATATTAAATTAATTTTTTATGGGGGAAGGCCCACCAAGGTAGCTTGCTACCTGGGCCTTCGAGCGTCGCCCTTGCGTTGCACTATAGCATGGGCCTGGCGCACCCCTCTAAGCCCAGTCCAAGTGTTGTTTCATCTTTTTAAATCCGTTCCTGTTTAATTTCGTTCAGGGGTAGGAGGCCATGGAAGAAAGGAGGTTCGGAGACTTGTTGGATCGAGGTTGTTACAACCAGTCTTAGAAATGAAGAATTGAGTTAGTTTAAAAAAAGTGTTGTTACTAAGTCACTAATGAGGACAAGGATAAGGATGCAATCTAGAGTGGTAAGCGATAAGATATTTTTGAAGGTGGCACCAGGCACCGATGAATGATGTTATAAGATTTAAGATTCTATATCGAGATTGGATCTGGATCCGGTGACATATCGATTGAATGATGTTATAAGATTTAAGATTCTATATCGAGATTGGATCCGGTGACATATCGATTGACCCTACCAGCATCCCTCTTCCGTTGTGTATAATATATTCCATGTGTTTATGTTTCATAACTATATGACTGACCCGACCCACGTGATAGGCTACAAGTCCTTGCAGATAGGTGAAGTCCTAAAGGATGAGGAAAGACCATCCAATAGAAGAGGTTAGATAAAAACGGGAGGACGAGATGATGGAGGAGTACTCCTGAGTTATTCAGTACTTTGGGGAACAAAAATTTCTTTTAGAAAAAAGTTCTGAAAACAAATACTTCAAAATATGTGACTTGGTAGCCAATTCTCTAATGGAGGAGTCTTTGTGGGTTTGTTTTAGGCATATGGGAATTTGCACTATTAGCCAATGTGGGATTTTGGTCTCACAAAGAGTCCTCCCTTCAAATTAGTAACCACCATGTCTTCTAACGAACTCCTTCATCATGTCTTCTAACGAACTGACTTGTGAGGAGGTCACCATACTAAACTAATTATTTTTAAAAATAGACTTAAGAAAGGCTCTACCGGCATAAAACATACCCTCCGGAAAAAGGAGGGAAGTTCAAATCTCTCACATCACATATTGATGAATTGCAAGATGGTTGGTTATGACCGGTGAGACGGTGTGAAATCCCACATCTTTTAGGGAGAACAAAATATTTTTTACAAGGATATGAAAATCTTTCTCTTTGCATTTTGAAAACCCAAAAAAGAAAGCCCAAAGAGAACAATATTTGTATTAAGAATGTTGGACCCCAAAAGAGAGTGGATTGTGAGATCCCACATTGATTGGAGAAGAGAACGACATTGATTGGAGAGGGAGACGAGTGCCAGCAAGGACACTCGCCCCTCGAAGGGGGTGGATTGTGAGATCCCACATCGGTTGGGGAGGAGGACGAAGCATTCTTTATAAAGGTATGAAAATCTCTCCCTAAAAAACACGTTTTTAAAACCTAAAATGAAAAGCCCAAAGAAGACAATATCTGCTAGAGGTGGAGGTGGGCTTCGACTATTTTCGACTATTATTGATGGTGACCTATACTAACTAACTTTAAAGAAAGGTCACCTGAGCATAACTTACTCTACCAGTATAAGACATACCCCCCCCCCCCCCCCCCCCCCCCCCCCCCCCCCCCCCCCCCCCCCCCCCCCCCCCCCCCCCCCCCCCCCCCCCCCCCCCCCCCCCCCCCCCCC